AAGCCGGTTCTGTAATCAGCATGATATCATCATCACGTGCTTAGAATTTACTACACATAGCCGTAGTTCACTGACAAGTTAGGCAAAAAAAATCGCAGACGATTTTATTTGCGCGATTCTGAAATCGAAGAAATCGTTCGTGATAATGATAGCTGTTTGCATAGCTTCTCAGTGAACTACGGCTCTGTGAAGTAAATGCTGCTCCATCTGAAAGCATGTGAAAATACCACATTCACTCCCCCCACCTACAATCCCTGCCGGTATGAGACTCGAACCCGCAACCTTTGGGTTACGAGTCCGACTCTAACCAATAGGCCACAACTTCCCCACAAAAGGCAATGCATTATAAATATACTTTATTTGAATGAAAATTATAATAATAAGAACTCAGATAAACCGTATATTGCCGTAGTCGTGTGTTTATTAGTCACGTTGAATCAATGAAAGCAGTTGAATCTTCTGTTTATCCAGCTACCACTATAGGCATTTCCTGGGTTTCTTCTGCGAGGCGTATTTGGAGTTTCAGCGCGAGAGCGCCCTCTGGCCTTTGGATGGAGATTTACTGCTGATCACAGAACCGTGCTTCACTGAAAGATACGCATGACAATCGCAGCTTCTGTCGAATCGCGATCTCGATTCCATTTCGATTTATCGTGCAGCCCTACACACATGTATGTCTTTACCCAGCGCTCTCTTTCTAGACGTCATTGTCTGAATAAATCATGACTTTAAAAGCATCCTCAAACCCACAATGACAGTCATCAGGCTGCCATTGAGGAAAGCACTAAGCCACAGTAATTACTCTTCTGTGGGAATCACATTCCTCCATAAATGGCTGTTCACATCACAGGTCAGCACTTTTTGCTTTATTGGGCATTGGCAATTGATTGTGGTTTCAGTGTCATCACATCATGTGTTCGCTTAGGTCTGCTTCTCTACGAGACATTATTTGAATGTGGCTGGATGACATTCAGATCATGGAGTATTGGAGTTTCATACTTCCATTGTAAAATAAATTGCTATAGGCTTGATTTCAAGACCAGATTGGCTCACAAGTGACATTGTTTTTGAGTTTTATTTTAAGACCGGAAACCACACTTGCTTTGGGTTAAATGTGAGAGCTGAGGTTTGTTGCCCCCCATCTTCCTGTGTACATGTCACTTATCTCACCTAGCATGGTTTCCTGTACAGTTAAAGGAAATCGTTCACTCAAAATGAAAGTTTGCTGAAAGTGTACTCCCTCTCAGGCCATCGAAGATGCATGAGTCTGTTTTTTCATCTGAACAGATTTGGAGAAATTTAGCATCAGGCTACATCACTCACTCATCAATGGATCCTCTG